CTCCTGGCAGCCTCCTCCTCCTCCTCCTCCTCCTCCTCCTCCTCCTGTTCCTCCTCCTCCTCCTCCTCCTCCTCCTCCTTCTCCGGTTCCTACTCCTACTCCTACTCCTCCTCCTACTCCTCCTTCTCCCTTTTGCTCCTCCTCCTCCTCCTGATTCTCCCCCTCCTCCTCCTCAATCTCCTCTTTCTCCGTTTTGTCCTCCTCCTCCTCCTCCTCCTCCTCCTTCTCCTTCTCCTTCTCCTCCTCCTCCTCCTCCTCCTCCTCCTCCTCCTCCTGCGCTCGCACCGATGAATGAGTCCTCATCAATCCTCAGCAGTGGTTACATCGGTGGCGGCGGCGGTAGGTGCGCCCTCCGCAGGGCGACCCTGGGGTGACGTACGTGAAGTGCTGCAGTAGTCCGCCGTGCTGCTCTCTTGAAGTGCAGCGCGGGACACTCCAGCGATCGAGGAGGAGAGAGAGAGGGGAGCAACGCATCAGCATCAGCAGCGCTCAAGGGGGAGGGACGGACGGGAGAAGGCAAGACAGCAGAATTGATGGACGGCAACGAAATTACTGAAATTGAGGGGGGGGACAAGAGGCCGAGTCGATGAATTGGGCAGTGTGCGAAAAAAAAGGCATGTCCAAATCCTTGCAGAGTAGCTGACGCACTGCGCGGCATGCAAAATAGTGACTCTGTCTGCCCGCCCCGCCACACCCAGAGGGAACATTATGCTAACGGAGTTCCCCACATAAAGAGATTAACGGTTTCGTGGGACCCATTTTCTTGATGCCCTCCTCGCGACGCAGGAGGGGTGGGAGGGGCACGAAACCATGTAAATAGTATGGTATTCCGATACCCTCCTCGCTCAGGCTGGGCCTCCCTGGAGGGGTGGGAGGGGCACGAAAACATGTAAATAGTATGGTATTCCGATACCCTCCTCGCTCAGGCGGGGCCTCCCTGGAGGGGTGGGAGGGGCACGAAACCATGTAAATAGTATGGTATTCCGATACCCTCCTCGCTCAGGCGGGCCTCCCTGGAGGGGTGGGAGGGGCACGAAACCAGGTAAATAGTATGGTATTCCGATACCCGCCTCGCTCAGGCGGGGCCTCCCTGGAGGGGTGGGAGGGGCACGAAACCATGTAAATAGTATGGTATTCCGATACCCTCCTCGCTCAGGCGGGGCCTCCCTGGAGGTGTGGGAGGGGCACGAAACCATGTAAATAGTATGGTGTTCCGATACCCTCCTCGCTCAGGCGGGGCCTGCCTGGAGGGGTGGGAGGGGCACGAAACCATGTAAATAGTATGGTATTCCGATACCCTCCTCGCTCAGGCGGGGCCTCCCTGGAGGGGTGGGAGGGGCACGAAACCATGTAAATAGTATGGTAATCCGATACCCTCCTCGCTCAGGCGGGGCCTCCCTGGAGGGGTGGGAGGGGCACGAAACCATGTAAATAGTATGGTAATTCGATACCCTCCTCGCTCAGGCGGGGCCTCCCTGGAGGGGTGGGAGGGGCACGAAACCATGTAATAGTATGGTATTCCGATACCCTCCTCGCTCAGGCGGGGCCTCCCTGGAGGGGTGGGAGGGGCACGAAACCATGTAAATAGTATGGTATTCCGATACCCTCCTCGCTCAGGCGGGGCCTCCCTGGAGGGGTGGGAGGGGCACGAAACCATGTAAATAGTATGGTATTCCGATACCCTCCTCGCTCAGGCGGGGCCTCCCTGGAGGGGTGGGAGGGGCACGAAACCATGTAAATAGTATGGTATTCCGATACCCTCCTCGCTCAGGCTGGGCCTCCCTGTAGGGGTGGGAGGGGCACGAAACCATGTAAATAGTATGGTATTCCGATACCCTCCTCGCTCAGGCGGGGCCTCCCTGGAGGGGTGGGAGGGGCACGAAACCATGTAAATAGTATGGTATTCCGATACCCTCCTCGCTCAGGCGGGGCCTCCCTGGAGGGGTGGGAGGGGCACGAAACCATGTAAATAGTATGGTATTCCGATACCCTCCTCGCTCAGGCGGGGCCTCCCTGGAGGGGTGGGAGGGGCAGTGTATAGTATGGTATGGTATGCTGGAATGGTATGGTAGGTACGGTATGGTATGATATGGTATGGTATGTACGGTATGGTATGGTATGGTATGGTGTGGTAGGAACTATGGTATGGTATGGTGTGTGTGGTAGGAATAATATTGTGCTGTATGGAAGATGGTGCGGGTGGTGGGTGGGAAGGAGAGGGTGTTCTGGGAAAACAAGAACCCACTCAGGATGTGGGGAAAAACAAATTGAACCGATCTCTGTGGAATCTGCCCTCTGTGGCCGAGGCACCAGCTAGGGTCTCACAGAAGCTGTTGCCCCATGATGCCGGGCACATGCGGATGCATCGCTGTACGTCGCACCACGGGATTCTACTGATGGCTGGGGCAGGGCGGGGAAAACACTGGAGGAGGCGAGCAGAGAAATCACGCGACAGGGTGGAGGGAAAGAGATGGATGTTGAACGCGGCAAGAGCGGCACGCTGGACTCTGTCTCCGATGGCGAGAGCGTCGCCCGCAGCCTGGACCGCTGTTGGGCCAGCGGACTTCCACTTCGGATGCGGTGGAAAGGGATCGGCTGCTTCCTGGAGCTCGTGCGCGAGTCACGGTCCTCTCCAAAAAAATAAGAAACGGTTGCCTTTTCACGACGTCTGCGATGGGCAGGCACTCCGTGGCCCGCACCTCGCAATGGGTAGAGAGCTCTGCCTAAATGCTTAGAGTGATGAGCGAGGCCCGGACAAGCGTCGCAAGGTTCAGCAAAATGGCGCTCTTTACTTTCGGACCGCCCCATTCATGCAGGTGGAGCCAGTCGGCTCGGGAGAGACAGCTGCGCGGCATCTTAAACAGCATCGCGAACAGTCTGTGCTCAGTTTGCGCAACCTCTGGAAATGCGAGACGCTGGAAGTGGCAGACGTATGTCAGCGCAGAAAGAGCACGACTGCCGCAGAGCATCGAAGTGATGGGAGGTGGCGCACCAGCGGCAGCGATAGCAGCAGCATGGCTAGCCCACTTGGCGAAGGGACCGCTCCAGGGCTCGAGACCGGCACCCGGCCCGATCCGTCGGCCAAAATACTTCAGGAAACGTGAAATCGTAGACCCCGCACATGCTGGGAGGTGGGTTTTCCAGCCACTGCCTATACATGCGCTCGACCCGTGGAGAAAAACTCCCGACCAACGGGACCAGATCACACTTGATGATTTTACGTTCAAGGTTCGCAACGCGCCTGCACGCCTGGGAAACAGGATACAGCTTTCCCAGAGCAGTGAGCTCGAACAAAACACTACCATTGTCATCCGCACAGGCCCTCACTAGACCAAGACCAGGGAGTTCCACAAGCGCCACGAAGTGGCACATGAAGGGGTGAGAGTCGCCCTGGATAATGCCCGATCCGATGGCGAAAAGGACCTGGAGGTCCCCGACCGATACCTCCCATGCACCAGACACCTTGATACATCATTCTCAAGAAGCCGAGAAACGGACCTGGATTCTCAACTGCGCCTAATACTCGGAATATCAAATCGCGGCTGATGGACGGGAAGGCTTGCCCGAAATCGAAGGCCGCCAGCACGGGGAGCCTCCGAGCTGCGTCGTCCTCCATTGAGGTGATGAGGCCCATGGTGTCTAGGTCAAGCACGTTCTCGCCAAAGTTCCGAGACGGCACGAATCCTCTCTGACTCTGATGGGCAAGCTGAGGCAGCCGACGAGTGAGAGAGCGGAAGCACACATCGGTAAGAATCTTGATATCAGCATTCTTTAATCCGAGCGGACGAGTCTGGCTGGCGCGACGAAAAACCTGAATTTCGTCTCCATCCTCCTCTCCTTTGGCGAGAAATGCTCCTCGAAGTACATCATGCCCAGACAGAAGCGATTCGCCCTGCAACATCCAGGAAAGCGTTTCCGATAAAAGTGCAGCGCCTTCGGGGTGATTTTCCAAACATCGCAGGGAAGCACGTCAGGTCCTGGAGCGCTGGAACCAATCCTCCGAAGTCACCCCTGGGCACGGCGTAGAAAGGAGCTAGGTCGCTCAAGTCAGCTCCGAAGCCGAAGCGTTCCAAATAATGGCGAGCAGCTGCGCCACCAGTCGCCTCGGCCTCGGAAACTGGGCCCAGTGCATCACCAGCTGGCCCAGTACTTCAGGTGGGGAGGCGACGGCCTGAGGGTCGCTTTCAGGGTCGGAAGTCGGACGGACCCCTTGGAGACACAGTTTTCGGTCAAATGGGGCCCATAAGCGCACTCTCTTTTGAAGTCCCCGAATCCGTTGGCGAAGCTTGGCCTCGGACGGGCCTTGCTCAGTCTCCTGAGGGCGACGGCCGGCAACGACTTTCGCCGACTCGAACAGTCGGCAGCGCTCCTGCTCGGCGGCGAGCTGGGAGGCTGGCGGATCCAGAAGCTCCAGTCGATCCCCGTCTCTGCTGATCTGGATCAACTGCGCGCCCAGCGGGTGCGCGTGCAACGCTCTGCGCGCGGGCGGGGGATTCTGCTGCCAGGTCGCTCTCGAAATCGTTCTCTGGATAATCAGTCACGTGAGAGGATCGCGAAGTTGATGGCGAATGATCGCATCGCGGGTCAATCTCGCAGCTTCTCGCGTCGCCGTCTTGCGGGGGTCGAGCCTGAGAGGGGCGGCGAGGTTGGACTGCTCCACTTGCTGCAGAGTCTTGCTCACGTTGGCCCGGTACTCTGGGTTCTGGAAAATCTCCTTCGGGATCGCGCGCTCGTCGGGCTTGGTGTCTGCTCTGGGAACCCGCGGGCGATGTGCCCACGCGGTCGGAGACGCGCGCGTCGCGCAGCGCCCCTGGATGACCGCGCAACCGCCCCCCCCCCCCCCCCTCCCGCGCATGATTGAATCAGACACCAGCCCGGAGTGGGGACAAAGAGCTCGTCAATACTGCTCAGCATGCCCCTGGCTGCGTTGAAATGAATTGGCTCGTTCAATTCGATTTCGGTCACCCCCCCAGAAACAGGATCCCAAAATCGACGCTGCG